ATGTGATGTTATATATTATCCACTAATATAGTATCTAATTAATGTGACCTCAAAAAAAGTCCCAACATCATAAACCATCCTAACTTGGAGCTAACAAAATACGAATTCTCAACCTCCAAATTTGAAGTGTGATATGTCCATGGATAGCCTTTGTTACAAAGAAACAATTAAAAAAATCACCTCAAATATACTTGGTATGAAAAAGTTATTAAAGTTCAAACTTTGGTCCTTTTTCATACTCCATCCGTCCCAAAATTATAGTCCATCTTTCGTTTTTGGTTTGTCTCAAAATAATAGTCCACTTCTAAAAATAAATAAAATTTTTACCAAAATACTCCCTCATTATTACTTAACTAACTAAGCATTTAATGAAACATTAAATGCAAAGTAAGGACAAAACTGTCATTTTATTGTATAAAGTTAGTCGTAATTAATGCTTCCTTAATCAATGTGTTTTTTTGTCCGTGGACAATAATTTTGGGACGGAGGGAGTATATTTCACCTATGAGTCTACTTTTAACCTAAAAAAATATGACTTACCGACCTCCAAATTAGGGGTGTCGTATGTGTTACAAATAACAAAATTAAAAAAAAAATCATCCCAAACGAATTTCATATGAAAGAGTTATTAAAGTTCAAAGTTTGGGACCACTTGGGTTATGATGACTTGGTAAAACATGTGGAAGATTTGGTGGATAAACTATTGACCCATGTTCAAATCCTGGCACTACTCCGCCTTTGTGGCCATGGAGGTTCGCATTCAGTGACTCCAGGGCATGATACATAGTCTCATGTTTGTAACGGGGATTAGTCGGTATGCGAAAGCTCGCTCGGAAACCCTCGTTAAGGAAGTTCCCTTTCCAAAAAAATTGTTTAAAGTTCGGAAAATAAAAATTTGATTTTCACATGGCAAAAATTATGTGCCTACAAATATTATAACTATTTTGGTTATCTTTTATTTTTCAAGTTATTTTATGGAATTTTTTAATTAAAATTTAAGCTTAAGATATATTTTTAGACTAATGTTATAGAAGCCCTTAAGTTTTTAAGAAATATTCAGTTTTACCCTTTGGTTTCTTTTGGGTTCACTAAAGTCGGAAGTTTGCAAAAAATTTATCATTTTTGCCCTTTTAACAAGTTACCCGGTTACCAACAGGTCAACTTAAGGGTAAAAACGAATATTTTTTGAAAACTGTAGGGCTTTTATGACATTAGCCCAAAAATATATAAAAACGATTTTATACTTATTTAAACATCTATATATATATATATATATATATATATATATATATATGTATTTTAAAAATACTTAACATATCTCTATATTTATAATATGTATGAAGTGTTATTATATGAATTTAAACATATAAAACCGTATTAATACATATAAAAATATATTTTTAAAAATATAAATATATTTTAAATGTGTAAAATACTTATAAATAAATTTAATTGTATAAAATACTCTTTTTAAACCTTTTAAATATATTTATAACTTTAGAAATATGTTTTTATACCTTTAAATATTTTTTATTTGTATAAATATGTATAAAAAGGTTTCTATACATAACGTGTATATAAATATGTAAAATATGTTAAATTTGTATAAACACTTTTTCTATATGTTTAAATATGGTTTTTTATACGTATAATTTTTTTTTATTTTTATATGTATAAATATGTACTAAAAATGTTTTTATACATATTTTAATTTATTTATAAGTATTTTGTATATTTAAAGACAATTTATATCTTTAAAAGTATATTTTTAAATGTATATATATATATGAGGTTTTAGATGTTTAAATACATATAAAGACATTTTTATTGATATTAATAAATATTTTTAAAATACATTTAAATATATATATATATATATATATATATATATATATATTATTTTTAACTACATATAAAAATTTATTTATATTTTTTAGATGTATTTATATAAATACAATATATATTTTTTTATGTAGAAGGTAAAACCAAAAAGGCATGTTGGTGTATCGGCAAGGGTTTTGACTTCTCCAATAGTGTTTGTGGGTTCGAGCCTTTGGGCTTACATACTTCCCCTCAAAGGTTAGTTGTGGGTGGGATCATATACTTTCCCTCAAAGCTTTGACTTTTAATTGAAAGAAACACCTCAACATCAGTCCAATCATCACATATATGTTCATCTAATAATGTTTTACACATATTGTAAACATAAAGATATGATAAATATGTTATATATATATATATATATATATATATATATATATAATCATCACATATATGATTTTTAAATTCATCTAATAATGTTTTATACATGTTGTAAACATAAACATATGATATATATATATATATATATATATATATATATATATATATATATATATATATATATATATATATATAGTAGTTCAAATGAGAACCTAAAAAGGTTAAGAACCATACGAACCATTTTTTAAATGTTTTTATTAAGAGCATTTTGGACTAATCCAACACATATATTGTATTAAGAAAACTTTTTCATTACTTAATTTATAAACTACTTGCCACTTGTTGTCGGTCCACCATCGGACCATTGTCGAATCACCGTCAGACCGCCGTTGGACTAACATTAAATTCAGTGGTATTTTTTTGTCGTATTCACAGCTTAATAGAACAAACATTAAAGCTTCCAATTCTTTGGAAATACATTTTATTTTTCTAGCTAAAACATACAAAATTTAAGTAAAAAAAAATGAATTATGCCTTGATAAATTCATTTTTTTTCTAAATTGTAGATACATTTATAAAATATATATTGTGTATAATGGTATTCACACTTTAAAATATATTATTCACAGTTTAATAAATATACTAATTCAGTAATACGCAATTTAATATTTGCATGCATACCGTCATTCATATTTGAACATAAAATTTATATAAAATATACAACTTAATACAGTCTGGTTTTAGTTTAATACAAAAAATTCACAACATAACATAATACAATACATTATACACTAATTCACATATTTAAAAAAGTCAAATCCAAATTCTATTACCACCACCACCAACTACCACATACCATCACCAACCACATGTGTCACCGTTGCAATCATATTTCGTTCCAAATTAGATCGGTATATAAAAATCATTAACTGCCAGATTAAATATTATATTCACAATTTAATAAACCAATTAATTCACTTATTATGAGTTTAACGCAAAATAATTATAAAAACTAATACTCTTACATATTTATACAACACAAAAAATAAATATATTCACAAGAAAATTAATACAAACATTCATACATAAATCATTCATATTTTAACACAAAATTCATTAAAATTCACAACTTAATACAATTAATTCACAATTTAAACAGAAAATTCATAGCTTAACGCAGTCAATTTAAAGTCTTATACACAAAAATCACAGTTTAATACACAAAATCAATAGTTTAATATAGTCAATTCACAGTTTAAACAAAAAATTCACAACTTAATGTAGCTAATTCACAGTTCAAAACACAAAAATCATAGTTTAATACATAAAATTCACAACTTATTACAATAAATTCACAGCTTAATAAACAAAAAGTATAAAATTCACAGTCATATTATCAACTTAAAACTCTTAATACAATCAATCCTAAGTTTAATACATAAAATTCACAGGTTAATACACAAAAACTATATATTCACATCCATATTCTCAAATTAATACTTACATTTATACGTTCATATATGGAAGCATGTCTATGTATTAAATTGTGAATTTAATATATTAAGTCGTGAATAAAATTCACAGCTTAATATATAAAAATTTGCAATTTAGTACAATATATTCATAACTCATTTACAAGTATAATATAGTTAATTCATTGTTTAGTACCCAAAATTCACAACTTAATATAGCAAATTCACAGTTTAATACACAAAAAATATACATTCACATATACCTTCGTATCTAGAGGCTAGTGCTTCTTTTAAAATATAATTTACACAATATTCAAAATTTAAACTTTATATACTTTTATTCAAAATTATAGAAAATCATATCTACGCATAAATGTTTCTTTCATCTCCTATTTTAGAAAAAAGAAACACAAAATTCATAAAAAATTACACAGCTCAAGACAATCAATTCAGAGTTTAATACAGTCAATTCACAGTTTAATACACAAAATCTGCAGCTTAATACAATAAATTCATAATTTAATATTCAAAAAGTATGTTTTCATAGTCTTATTCTTAACTTAAAACTTATATTTTAAGACTTTCATTCATAGTTTAAAAGTAGTTCATGACTCTCATTTATATAATTCACAATACTAGTTCAAGACTATCATTCCCAATTTAATACAACTTAACAACTTAAAAATCATTAAGATATTTAATCAAATATTGTGTGAATTTTAAGACTAGATAATATTTCAATTATTAAATTCTACATAATTAGTCTTACTTTAAAAGTTCATTTAAATATATTTATATATTTAAGCAACTTGTCGTATAGATTAATTTTTGTTTATTTATTAATTATTCCTATTTCCTTAGATATGCGAGACTAGGTATATGTAAACAATAAAAAAGTATACATCTTTATTGTGGAATGTGTCTTCAGAGTAAATGGAAGCAATTAAATATGGAGAATTTCAAAACCTTTACCACTCTCGGTCAAATCACATGCGCACATACTGCACACACATATAGCACATACATACACCTTTAACTTTTTGACATCTCCATAACATTACCGGAGAAAAATAACTCTAATTTCTCACTTCTTGTAAATCTAACCTTTTTGTTTTTAACGATAACACTTATAAACCACATGAAATGCTTGTCGGAACATATCTCTACCGGAACTCGTGACCAAAAAGCACACCTAGTCGTGTTGAACTCACCGGGACGCCTAAACAGTAGTCGGAAAACCTCATCGGAAAACATCACATACTCAGATATGATTTACATTCTGTTGTGATTGTGATAGTTAAACAAAAACATTACTGGAAAACTCTCATGGATGTCGGTTTCTGATAGCTGACAGAGGAGACGGCGATGAAAGAATTCGCCGGGGGAGAAGAAATGGAAGAGATCTAGCGGAAATCTTAGATCTGATTTCGTTGACGAGAAGAGGAGGACGTGGTCCAGATCTGATGCATTCGAGATCTACCGTATCTTAGTGATATTCTGGTGGCTTTGGTGGCTCTCCAGAGCAGATCTGAAGAAAAAGTGGTGGCTCGTCGGAGCAGATATGTCGTGGAAGGAGGACATGACTACGACTGTGGTGGTTCACCACAACAACGACAAAGACGAGACATCAGTGGTCCTAGATCTAAAACTCCGATGACGGATTTAAGTGTGATCGCCGGTAGTCGGAGGCTACGACGTGGAGGTGTCATCGGCGGCAGTACTAGTGGTGAGGCGGCCGTCAATGGTGGTAAATGTGGTGGTGTTCATCAGAGATGGCTGAAGGAGGTGAGAGGATATTTATTTCGTTTCAGGAGAATAATGAAGAAATAGGATCAAATCTAACATATGTAATATGAGTGATTCTTAGGGTTCTTAATCTTTAGTGGTTCTTATTTGAACTTTTACCTATATATATATATATATATATATATATATATATATATATATATATATATATATATATATATATATAGGTTCCGTTGAGATTAAAAATAAAATAGAGATCTTGAGATTCAACCTCAGCCACGTATTTCACATCTGCCGCTCTAACCCTCCAGCGTACTGGCGCGGCAGGCCTGGTATAATCATAAATGATTATACAGTGCCACCCGTTCCTTTCTCATCCGCCACCATCCACACCATCATAACCGCCACCGCCATCACCACTACCACCACCTCTAACACCAGCCGAACTCACCACTGTTATCTCCGTTACTTATACCACCGCCACCTCTGTCAGCACCACATCTTTTGCCACCAACTGTCATAATCATTTATGATTACTCAATCTGTGAACAGACATATATGTATAATCATTTATGATTAGGCATATACGTATAAACATGTATAATCCTATATGATTATACCTCTCTGTCATATAATCATTTATGATTAGTCATACCCCGTTGTTGCCGGTATGCTGAAGCATTAGAACGGCAAATGAGAAATTATGGCTGAGGTTGAATCTCAAGATCTCTATTTTTTTTAATCTCAAATGAACCGTCTCCTATATATATATATATATATATATATATATATATATATATATATATATATATATATATATATATATATATATATACACACACACACACACACACACACACACACACACACACACACACACACGTTTAAATACATATAAAAACGTTTTTATATATTTCTGGGCTAATGTCATAAAGCCGTTAAGTTTTTAAAAAATATTTGTTTTTACCCTTAAGTTTTCAATTCATATGTAGGTGACCTGTTGGTAACTGGGTAACTTGCTAAAAGGACAAAAATGAAAAATTTACGCAAACTACCGGTTTTAGTGAACCCCAAAAGACATGAAAGGGTAAAACCAAACATTTTTTTTACCGCTTAACAATTTTTATGACATTGAACCTATACTTTTAGGCTGTGTTTTGGATTTCTTTTTTAACTTAAAAGTCATTTTATAAAAATGACTTTTTATAAACGAACTTTTTTTAAAAGGATGCCTTTAAAATGTGTTTGGCTTGACTTTTATGATTTTTAAGAGTTAAAAGCCAAAAGTTAAGAAAATATGAGATTTTATGATTTTGAAGAAGCTACTTTTCATTCATGGCAAAAAGTTGATTTAAAAGAACTTTTTCTATTTTGCCAAATATCCTTTGGACTTTTTTAATTTTTTGAAAAAGTTAAAAGTCAAAAAATATTTTAAAAGGAAAGTCAAACACCCCTTTATTTCTCACACATTGAGACAAGGAAATTTTTTACAGCTTACTCACTTTAAACCCTAAGTCAGTCCGATTGGTATGATGGGTAAGTTTATATTGTTTTTAATTATTTGAAAGTCGTCTGGGAAAGAGTTTCTGTCTGGATTATGTTGTTTATGATTTATTTTGTTCATTAGTTCGAAACGTAAACTCTGTTTTTGCGTATTGGAAAACAGAAATTAGGAAACCGATTTGAGAATATTACATGCGTTCTAAAGATAATTGAATAGTTATTAATTTTTCAAGGCCGCAAGTATGATGGGTATAATCTAGTTTTTGCAAGTATGAAGGGTATATCATGTGGTAATGTAGGTTGTTTTAAGTTAGGTTTGGCCGGGGAAAGCCATTGACGCGACTAGAAATTTGAGGATAGACCAAAATTGAAACCCAAAAGAAATTTGTTTTGTTCTCACCCTTCTGCAACAAGTTTGGTTAGTAATGCTTTATGTATGGCCTCTAGCTTTTCTTTTTACTCGTACAACTTTGGAATAACCTTCTTGCTCGACTATCAATTGTCTTTCACTTTTATGCTCACCTCCTTTGATAGCTTCCAAACTCATGTCGGTTTCTCCAGAGATTTCCCTTTGTTTTCCACGACCCTCTTATAAACCATTATGCTCTTAAAAACTCTTGGATTATTATCTTTAGTGTTACAAAATGTAAATATGTGAGCTACAGCTCCTTAAAAATGCTTGCAACCTTTAAATCATAAGCATTACATATAAAACAGTTTCTTTCTCATGAGCTGTCCTACCACACATACACATAAACTTCGTTGATAATGAAAGGATATTAAGAATAGTATTCAAAAGGTCAAGTTGCTCCATGTTTCTTATTGCATTCTATTTTATATTGATATAACTTGGTCTTATTTTGTTTTTTATTTTTTTCTGAATCTAATAACAGAGAGAAATAAAAGGAGGGTTGTCAGTTGTCCCGAGGAAGATAGAATCAGTAAGTTGCCAGAACAATTGATAGACTCGATCTTAGAGCTGCTCCCCATTGAAGATTCTGTAAGGACAAGCATTATATCAGAAAGTTGGAGGTACAGATGGACCACAATGGGGGCACTGGTTTTTGATAAACATTTCTCCAATAAATTTGCAAACAATGGAGCTTTTGGTCGTAATGGGTTTATAAGGATCATAAACCAAGTCTTGTTCCTTCACAAGGGTCCTATCTTGAAATTTCATCTCCATATACCAAACATATCTCTTGATAGCTTCCAAGAAGTTGATCAATGGATGTCATTCTTATCAAGAAACGGTGTCACCGAACTCCTCCTTACTAATTTAAATCAACGTTATGAACTTCCTTCTTATGTGTTTTCTTGTCTAGAGCTGACAAAGTTAAAACTGGTGAACTGTTTCTTCAAGACGCCACTTAAGTTTGAAGGATGTCTCAATCTTGAAGAACTTTGTCTGCAGGATGTTGATTTTGGGACTAGCTTGTGTGGAAATAAGATCAACCTACCACAGCTTAAGAAGTTGATCCTTCTTACGTGCAAAAATGTTTACAATTTCAACATTAAGGCTACAAAACTGTGCGTTTTGACTATCGTTGCTTGTCGTGATACCATATTGCTCCGGTTATTGGACAGTTCATGCCTTTTTGTGGCTGGGCTTGCTCTTAGGAAACCCATACAAGATTTTGTACGAGGTGAAAAAATAAATTTGGCCACAATGTTGAGTAAGTTGCCCAGAGTTGAATACCTTTTTATCGACAATTATTTCCTTAAGGTATGATATAAAGGGATAGTTTTTATGCTTAACCTTTGCTCTTCCTCAATTGGAGGGTATGTAATTCTCATGTTTATCGGGTAACTTGAAATATAACTTTCATCTCACAGTCTTTGGTTGCAGAAAAGATTCCTAAATTTCTTCCACGTGCGATTAGTAGTTTAAAGCGTCTGTGGTTGTTTGATTATCAACTTGGTGATATGGATCAACTTCATGTTGCTCTTTGTTTTCTTCGAAACTCACTGAATCTCGAAAAACTGTCTGTAACGCACTCTGAAATGGTAAAGTAAAGAGTGTTAAAAGTAAATACATATAATACATGAGTTAGATGCTAAACTGTGGTTGCATCTTAAAATTGTTTCAGGAGTCTCGAGTGGATGTGGGACCAGCTTCAAATCATTTGGAATCCCCAAACTGTTTGGACTGTATGTTGACTCGATTGCAAACTGTGAAGATAGAATGTTTACAAGGATCAAAACCGGAACTGCTTTTTATAAAGCTACTTCTTGCTCATTCGCCTTCTCTCCAGAACTTTACCATCACGCCAAGTGAGAACACTGATGCTCAAAAAAGATTTGACATTGCTAAAGATGTGATGCAGTTCCGTCGAGCCTCACCAAAAGCAAAAATGATCTATTTGAACCCGGAGACATAATCATGTACGGATGTTCAACTACATTTTAATTTAGCTTTATAATTTCATACAAGTGCCAAGTATATATGTTGGACTTTTTTGTCATCCCTCCTTCCACAAAATATCTACTATAAACTTTGACCTTCACAAAGCGCTAGTATAAATTTACGAAAATGTAGACAGATACCTCCAACTGAAATCAAGACTTTATCGATGTAAGTATTTGAACTTATATACACAAAGAAAGAAAATATGTGTACAGCTTCATACCAGTAAACCGTAAGTTTCTGTAGAGTATTTCCTTAAAACACCCACTTATTTATCTATCCTATATTCGTATTTGCTTTGCTACAATTGCATTTTTGTTATTTGCACAAAGGACCTTGGTCCAGTTGAGTTGTTATAGCTACAAGTCCCCTGCTTTTCATCTTCTTACTCTTTACTTTCTAAGTCCTTGAAATAAAATAAGCAGTTATTAAACTCCAACAAAGTTTGTTGATTAAATTTGTTTAAGCATAAGATTACATAAAAAAGGACTGCATATTGAAAGTTATAGTAAGAAACAAGTGCTCAGTAGACTATATATATTTCAGCCATTAGGAAACCAGGAATTTGTAATGATTGGTATGTTATGATTTAATTCAGAAGGATCCTAGTAACTTTACTTGATTTTTGATTATTTGTGGCGTGTTTTAATATACTTGTAAATAGTTTGTGTGCATGAAGAAGAAACTGATGATCTGAGAATTGTGTTATGCAGATCTGCAGTGACCATAGCGAACAACCATTATGTTGAAGAACAAAAGAAAGCTGAAGCTGTATGTGTGTGTGTGTGTCAAATTACATGTGTTGAAACGGAAATACTATAAGTTTAGTGCACTCTATTTAGATTAGAAACTACAGTAGTGTGTCTATAATACCGAAGACACAAGTGTTGTTCGTCTGTCGTTTTTGACTGGAAAGTTGTTAGCCTTCATTTAGAAAGAACTCCCGATGTGCTTCAAGGTGGATAGCCATGACATGGATATTTTTTTAGGAGTAATGCTAAAAAGGACATTGAAATTGTTATTTTGACAAGAAGTTTCGTTTATCCTTATATTAAGTAGCATGCTCGAACGACTATGTATGAAAGTAATATATATATATATATATATATATATATATATATATATATATATATATATATATATATATATATAAATGATAAACTAGTTATTTTTCTTTGGTTAGATACCAAACCACAATGAAACCTTATACCTTTTATAAAGATGTCTATTTTGTTAAAATATCCATTCTTTTATGTGAACCAAGAAAGATCACACCAATAGACAATTTCTATAATTTACTCTGTAAATTTTAAAGAAACGCTTATGTTATCTATTTTTTTTTATCTTTTATTTTGCAAAAATGATATTTTTTTGTTAAATAATAACCGTAAATATTCAAAATATAATATTGGAAAAAATAATTACATGAATTAGTAATTTTCTATAGAAAAAAAAATCGATAAAGAAAATGTTATCATTAACTCATTAATAGTAAAATGAGAAATAGCTACGAAAATCACCTACGAAAAGATGTCGTCAGTATTTTCCGACGGAACTCCAATGGAAAACCATGCCCTAAATTAGTGACGAGAATGTGACTGAATTGCGACAAAATACCGACGGGTGAGAAACCGTCGGAAATCCATCGGTAAATACTGACGGAATAGCTACGGAACAAAGAAATATATTATTTTGGTATATTTTCCGTCGCTAGAAGTTAAAACTTGAAAAATGAAAAATATATGGGGTCGGTTTCAAACTTGGGTCTTCCATGAAACATATCAAACACTTACTATCATGGCATGCCACATTCATGGTTGCTTGATATTTCTTGTACAATACCTATTTTATTATTATTATTATTTTTTTTATTATTATTGTTATTATTATTGTTATTCTTGTTATTATTATTATTATTATTATTATTATTATTATTATCATTGTTGTTGTTGTTATTATTATTATTATTATTATTATTACTATTATTATTATCACGACACTGTTGCTACAGTTGCAACTGGTAACCATGCGTACTCTGTTGATGCCAAGAAGAATTGGTTCACACAACAACTTGATGTCAACAATGCCTTCTTGCATGGAGACCTTGTTGAAGAAGTGTACATGAAAGTTCCCAAGGTTTTTCCAAAGAAAATGATACTCACATTTGTCGTCTACAAAAATTCCTCTACGGTCTGAAGCAAGCTTCTCGGTAACTGGGACCACAAATTGACCAATTTTCTTTTGAGCATTATTAATTTTCTTTTGAGCATTATTTTTTTGTCAGTCAAAGGCCGATTATCACCTTTTCTTGCAAAATCGAAGTGGTTTTTTCACTGCCATCTTGATTTATGTGGACAATATTATCATAGTTGGTGACAATTTTGACCAGATTCAACAAATAAAAGGACAACTCGACAACGCTTTCAGCATTAAAGATCTTGGACAACTAAAATACTTTCTTGGCATAGAAGTAGCAAAAACTTCAAACGACTTAGTTCTGAGTCAACGAAAATACATCTTAGATATCCTCAAAGATAGTGGAATGTTGGGCTGCAAAGCATGTTCGTTTCCTGCTGAGCAAAACTTAAAGTTAGATCAATGAGAAGACGAAGCTCTGGTCGATGCTAGTCAGTATCATAGACTTATTGGTCAGCTCCTTTATCTTCAAGGAACTCGTCATGATGTTACATTTGTTGTTAAGATGTTGAGTCAGTTTATCTCTGACCCTCGCCAAAGCCATATGCAAGGAGTTACACGAGCCCTAAGATACCTAAAGAGACCGCATGACAAGGAATCCTTTTACCACGAACTGCAGAACCACTCTTAACCACTTTTTCTGATTTTGATTGGCTTGTTTGTTCATACACAAGACACGAACATGTTACTTTCTTTTTGCTTAGCGGTGCTCCTATTTCTTTGAAAACTAAAAAACAATCCATCGCCTCTCACTCTTTCGATAAAGCTGAGTATCGTGCCATGGCCTCAAGGGTTAATGAAGTTTTGTGGTTAGATAGCTCCCCAAGGATTTATAAATTGTCACAAACACTCCAACCAATTTCTTTTGTGACAAACAGGCGGCTCATCATATTGTAAACAATACTATTTTCTACGAGAAGATTAAGCATGTGGAAATGGAATTTTTTTTTTCGAGAACGGATTGCTTCTCGAGAAGTCTCATTAATGAAGATAGACGGCAAGATGCAAGTTGCCAACTTTCTCACCAAAGCTCTTGGTTCCAACCAACTTCATTTCCTACTTGGAAAGATGGGTATTGATAATCTACATTCTCCATATTGAGGGGGAGTGTTGGATATTGATAACATAGATATTGTTTCCTTATATGTGCATATCTAGTCATGTATTTTATGCATATTTCTTAATACTTTAAGATATAATTATACTTAATTCGGGATAAATGGTACTTATTATGTTTGAAATATGTTTTGTTGCAGCGAAGACATGCTCGGGATGAAAAGGAAGCAAACGAGGATCTAGAACCAAGAAAATGCGAGCTTAGGCAAAAAGAAGAAACAAAAAGGATGTTGTTGGACAGTTTGACCCCTCGTTGGTATTTTTACCATCACTTATGAATCGTAACTATGATTAATGTGATTCAAAATGATCTGAAAACTAGACAAAATTTCGGACGACTTTTGTGTTTTGAGAAAATGCTGATTCTAGATAACCAGGACGTGGTGATCCCACCACGACGTGGTGAATTGAATCTTCGCGATTCTCAACGCTGACTTGGAGAATACTGTAACACCCCAAATTTCAATTGTTCAATGAAGGGCCAAAAGTGTAAATTTAGGAAAGGGACTCGATGAGTAGGTCCGCTTACTAGCCGAGTCGGAGCGGGATTTTATCGCGGTTTAAGTGGCCAACTCGCCGAGTCGGCGGCTTGGACTCGACGAGTTGGTGCTGAAGAGAGAAAACCCTAATCCCGGCGAGTCTGTTGAAGATTGACTTGGACTCGGCGAGTCTGTTCTTGGACTCGGCGAGTCTGTTCTTGGACTCGGCGAGTCAGGTCGCAGAACCCCTAACCTCTTCTGGTTAAGACGCAGATCAGTGAGTCGAGGGGTGACTCAGTGAGTTGGACAGGTTGGGACTCAGAGATCATTAGACTCGACGAGTCTTGGGGTGGCTCGGCGAGTTGAGTCGTGTTCTAAGAGTTTTTAGAGTATAAAGACTCGACGAGTCAACGGGTTGACTCGGCGAGTAGGGTCAGTCAGGAAGTTTGACTTTGTCCTGGACTTTGACTTTGACCTTCAAGGGTGTTATGGTAATTGGTTATTTATGTCAATGGTCCATTGATGGTAATAGGTGTTGGAGTTTGGAGCAGTGCTTCGGGTGTGTGCTTCCGTGGTTCGGTTCTTCATTTCAGGTGAGTTATCCTCACTATATCGACAGGGTCTACGGCACCAAGGTCGGCCCTTTATCGGATGGAAATCCGGGTATTGTTTGTTATCTTATTGCTTTGCTAGATCTGTATCCTGGTATTTAGGATGGTGTTATGTTAGTGACCTGGTTAAGGTCGGTACCCGGTATTTAGGGTAATGTTATGTTAGTGACCTGGTTAAGGTCGGTACCCGGTATATAGGGTAATGTTATGCTAGTGACCGGTTAGGTCAGAATCCTGGTTAGGATGTTGATATGATATGTGATCTGTTAGACTGTTTGTCTGGTTAAGGATCTGTTATGCGATTAATTGTTTATGTGCACATGGTTGTTTGAAGGGGGTTGGGTTGAGGCGGTTCCTGCTTTGCGCTATAGGCCAACATACCCAGGGCGGACCGGATATTCCGAAGGCCCAGCGAGCGGTCCGGATAGGCTGAAGGCCCCAAGAGGGCGTACCAGACGTGCCGAGGCTCGGAGAGTGGACCAGGCCGACTGAAGGACCGGTGTGGGCGGACCGGTCATACTGTAGACTCAGAGAGTGGACCAGGTGGATTGAAGGCCCGGTGCGGGCGGACC